GGGAATCCTGGCACTGCAGGGCACAGGGCTCGTTGCAGCTGTTGGCCAGCGGGGTGGGTCCGCAGGTGGATCCGCAGAGGGTGTTGCAGGCCATGGGTGTGGTGTGGAGGGTGCCTGGAAGAGAGAGGGGTGAGGCAGGGCAGGGATGTGAGGGGGAATAGGGGCAGTGATGGAGGAGGGTGATGGAGTGTGGAGGCTGTTGTAGGTCTGTGGGGAGGTTTCAGGGCTGCTGAGGCTGGGGCTGAGCGTGCTGGAAGAGAGGGGCCAGGGATAGAGGATCAAAACTGTCAGTGGCATGAGGCTCACCTGGTTGTCAGCAGGAGCAGGAGAAGACTGCGAAATTTGTGAAGCAGAGCTGTGCTGGGCTGGCTTTTATGCTGGTCCTGGAGGGGTGGGATAGCCTTGTCACTTGGCCTTGGGGCATTTTTAAGGCAGCATCTCTTTCATAGCCCAGTCTGGTGAGTCATGAGGTGGGGAGTGTTTTCTTTCCTGGGACTCTTCCACACCATGTCCTCCACTTGAGGCTGTTTCCATCTGACCTTGGCATCACCTCTTAATGGGGAGAATTAGTGACCATTATCTCATTGGTGACAGCATGTGTCTGGACATGTAAACAATTTAACCAAAGCTTTGCAGAACTGGGAAGCCATCAGTCAAATCATTGCACGGCATGTTGACAATATGTCCCATTTGCCTCCTTGCCTCCTGTCAGAAAGAAATCCCACCTCTCTCAGCTTCTCGTTTTGAGGATGCTCCAATCCCATCATGGTCTTGGTCTCCCTGCACTTGTCCAGATCCTTGATCCACTGTGGAGTCACAGCAGTGATGGTCAAAAGGATGGACACCGCCCTCAACCCGCTTGCATTTCATTTCTTAATCCTGTCCTGGTAACTGCTGAAGTTTTTTGTAGCAAAGGGTACGTGGCCAAAAGGATGGATAAATCACCAGAGAGGAATTGTTCTCACGTGTCTTGGTCTCCTTATCCCTCACAACATTTCCTTTACAAGAAGAAGAGTCCAGAGCCCAGCACTGTGACCCCACAGTGTGACCTTGCTTGGCCCAGGTGAGATGACCTTTACAGATTGACCAACACAAGCCTTTGAGCAGCATGGGAAGCCTCCCCGTATCCCAGGGATTGCTTTCCTATATCCAGCAGGAATTACCAGTGATATGGAAATGCATGGAGAGATGGCAACATGAGAGGGAGACAACGTGATGGAAGTAGCAGCCCTGCAAAAGCAGCATTTTTTCCAAACCCAAGATCAAGCTGACGGTGTGGAGGGCTTAGAAGGTCTGAGGCCCCTCCTCAAAACACAACAGCACACCACGCCACACGGTGACTTCACTGATGATACTCCACCTCTCCTAAGCCTTGGTCATGCTTTCAGCCCCCTCTGAATCACATCATTAACACCATCTTAACATAAAACATTTGAATTTAATTTTTTCAACAAGGTCAAACAGAAAGGGTCTCAGCAGAAGGATATGGAATAGCAAAATTCCAAAATGACGTGCCCCCACCATGACAGAGAAAGAAGAGGACCTTGCTGACCCTCCTCTAGTAATTATTGGCTTCTGCTAACAGAAACAAAAAATTAAGATTACAGGATAAAAGTTGTGAAACATAATGGCCTGAATGCAGAAATTGATATCACAGATCTGCTGCAGCAAGAAACGGATAGGACCAGGTTAGTTCCTCATTATTAGATTTCTGAATGAGGTCTAGAAATACACTTCATGAGACAGCGTATGCTGTTGTATAAATTTGAGAAATCCAGAGAAACCAGGACACTGTAAAAAGTTCATCCTAAACAGAGTCTGGCTTTCCAGATCCTCTCTTGATCCCATTCAAGACTCAAGCCTAGGAGCTCTGTCTCATCCAAGCACTCAGACCTTTAAAAGTCATTGCAGAGTGACCTCCCCAGGACATCAGCAGCTCCCTCAGCATTCCTGGGTGCAGCACAATGACTGATGGACATCCAGCGGCTGAGAAAAAAGTCACAGTCTTCACAAGGCACCGGCAAACCAAAGCAGATGAGTGCCACAAAATGACATCACTGATGACATTGCAACTTTCCTGGGCTCTGGTTGTTTATCCAGCCCTCCCTGACACACATGGAACAATCAAATCCACCCAAACACAACCTCACGAAAACCGCCGCCAAGGTCAGATGGAACCAGCTTCAAGAGCAGGACATGGAATTGCAGAATGAAAGGAATGAAACCACTCCCCACCTCATGACCTCAGGAGAGGCTGGGCCAGGTGAGAGCTTCTGCCTGCAAAATGCCCCAAGGCCACGGGAAAGGCTGTCACACCCATACAGGACCAGCATAAAAACCAGCACAGAGCCTCTGTTCCTCACACACTTCTCCTGACACATTCTGCCAACAACGAGGTGAGCCTCAATCCCCTGACCCTCCTGCTCCTGCACCCCTGGACCCTCTCACCCAGCACACTCAGCCCCAGCCTCAGCAGCCCTCACACCTCCCCACAGCCCCACAGCAGCCTCCACACTCCATCACCATCCTCCATCACTGCCCCTCACACCCAAACACCCGCGCCCTGCCTCATCCCGCATTTCTTCCAGGCACCCTCCACTCCACACCCATGGCCTGCAACACCCTCTGCCAGCCCTGCGGACCCACCCCACTGGCCAACAGCTGCAACGAGCCCTGTGCCCTGCAGTGCCAGGATTCCCGCGTCATCATCAACCCTTCCCCTGTGCTGGTCACCCTGCCAGGACC